ACACCCCCCCGGCAGTGGGCACCGGTGGCGTGGGGTACCCCCATCCCATCGCTTCTTTGCCCGAGGCACCGTGGTTGTGGGGCAGGGGGTCCGGCTGAGGCAAATGGGCTGCTGAAGCATCAGCCTTACCCCCAAAAAAAACCCCAGGCAACCCATCAGGGTGAAAACTGGTCCATTGCACGCTTGTGTGTTTCACCCCTGATGGGAGAGCGGGGAGCCTGATGTTGGGAGGGTAGCGACTGGCGCAGCCCCAGTTGGATTGGGTTGTACTGGGTGGGACCACACCGTCCGTGAATCCTGTGGTATCAGACAAGTATTGGCACCATAGGGCACTGTTGATGGTGTCCTTAGAAACATACCTGGCAGCTTTAGTCAAATGCTCTCCTCTAGTACTCTGTTCTCCATGAAGATATGAGCTATTTCCTTGTGATCTGAGTATATTGCAGGCTAAGTTTCTTAGGAGGAATTTTTCTGGAAGAAGTCTAGAGGGTTTGTACTTGTTCCCCAAGAGAAAATCAGCTGAAGAGATGCTGAGAGATCTTCTAGTGGTGTTCAAGACTACTCAAGTTATGGGCTATAACCATACCGACTCATTGCCATTTGGAGTAACTAGACTAACTAACTAGTAACTAACTGCCAGGTATAGCGTAGTCAAGAGATGCTATAATCTCATTTCCTTCACTCACTAGACAGGATGATGCAAGTTCAGTTATTTGCAGCTTGCTGATGGTCTTTAGAGCAGGGCAAGCTGTTACCGCCAACCTTGGCGCAGGGATGAAAATAAGTTATCTTCTAGATTTGTATCTCAGAAGAAAAAAACAATCATCAGAAAGCAAAAGAAGATATTTTAATAATTGCTCTTATGTGGACATCTGCAAGGAGGTCCAGTAGAATTCTAATGCTTCAAACTTGGCGGTCTCAGCAGTTTCATTTAATGATGTTTCTTCAGAATGAAAAGTCTTCAGGCTTCTCGTTCTGAGCTTGCTTCATTGAGAAGTAAGGTCACTAAATGTTTGCAGACAGTTCAGTTTGAGAGTTGAAGTATATCTTTTGTTCCCTTCCTCTCGGCACCACTTGTGTCTGAGGACAACTGAGGTGATCTCCGTGCCCTTGCTTTACTATGACTTTGGAGCAGTGTGATATCTTTGTAAGAAAGCTCCTTTTGGGTAGTAGTATTGTAAGCTGCTCTTGCAAGCCTTATCAGTGAGTTTCTACTGAATAGAGTAGTCGTCAGTAGAGGAACTCTGTGGTTCCAGGAGGGAGAAGAAAGGGGAGAGAAGGTCAACAGATTACAGAGAGGTATTTCCTAGGAACGAGCAGAACCTTTTCAGTGTTTGCATCTGCTTCTTGTAGATACAGCTGGTGTAAACTAATAATGATTTCAATCTATAGGGTACAAGTTGCAAATAAGAAGCACAGGGCGAGATACCTGCCTGTAGCTCTGGAGAGACCTAACAGCATGACTTTATGCTGTTGCCTTCTCAAATGGCAACCTGAGATGGGATGAACAAGTGTGTTGCTGGAGTTGGTCAGGTGCTGCTAACGTTGGCAAGGTCTGTACTGGTCAACACGGGGAGAAGCCGGTTACAGTGAGCTTGCTGACACTGAGAAAGATCTTCCCAAATCTAAGCCAGTTCATTCCATGGATGTAATGGCTGCTGACTTAAAATACAATTATTTGCCTCCTGTGTCCAGAGAACCTATGTCTGCTCAGGTCTTTATGTTACTCCTGGAAGTGCAGGAAGCTTGGTGCAAAGATAGGCCCTTGTTCACTCAGCTGCTTACTCGCACAAGAGCCCCCCAAGGTTTTGGCAGTGCCTTCCCTGTTGAATGCCCCCATCTGTGGAACTCTCTCTGATCTGACTTTGAACAAGCTTCAAGTGGGACGCCAGATGCATTTATTTGGATTAGGGTGTGGGTTTTTTGTGTTAATGACAAATGGAAAGAGGTTTGTGTTACTGATGCTTGCAGAAGTATTAACACCATTATGCTGCCTGTTGTGGGTGGTATATTGCTGCTATGGTGATATATTTTCTTAAATCGTTACTTTCAAATGCCCTATCTGTATGTCCCTTGTGTCATATCAGCAGGGTGGTAGGGAAGGAGTGTATATTTGGGTTCAAGCATGTTTGTGCTTTTTGTCTCTTCTCAGCCACCATCTTTTCCCCTTTATGAAGGGGGACAACACCACTGACCTTGTCCTATTTGGTTGTGTTTTCACTAGTGCTAGTTAAAAACTCCAGTGGCCTCAATTCTTGTGTCTTTAACAGAGCTTACTTTTAGGAGAAGCAAAGAAATAATTGAGTTCTGATTTTTGTTTCTGAGACAGGCTTTGATGGTAATCTGTTTTGGTGTATATATTTTGAATGTGTGCCCCCCCCCCAAAAAAAAAAAAAAAAAAAAGGGCTAATGCCCACTGCAGTGGTAGTGAGAAGCTGAATCCCTTTAACAAAGCAAAGTTGTGAGGTTCCGGATGGAAGTGTATTGCAATGCCCCGAGCACTGCTGCTGTCCCTGGGTTTCCCCTCAACCCCCTGTCCCCCCTCCCCCTCTGCTTTTATTAAAAAGAATTATTTACGAGGAATGGCAACAATTGCCCAGAGGTTTTACTTGTTTAATGTTCTCCTTCCTCCCTGGACGGAAACTGTAACTCTTCCCTAGCTTCCCTCTCTAGCTTCCTTTCGCTTTCTGGAGCTGTTTGCTTGCTGCTCCTTTCCAAACCCCTTGGTACTCCTGTCTCCGTGGTGACAAGGGGTGGGGTCTGTGCTCCGCCTGTGATGCTGACAGGCACAAATGTGAGCTGATACACCCCGACAGCCTGGGCCAAGCCGCCCTGCGCCTGCCTTCCAGCGCTGGGAGAGCATCTGGCCATCACCAAGGGTGCCTGCACCCGCACCCCCTGGCAATCCAACTTGCCTCCAACCCCCTGTGAAATGCATGTGGGCTTGTCCTACAGTAGGTTTTTTTAAGTAGGGCCTACCATGGTTATAGAAATCTTTGTTAAAAAACAAAACAAAACCCTAACAAACAAAAACCAAAACAAACAAAAAAACCCAAAACAAAAAACTATGTGGAGCAGCAGTTTGTGGACCTCTTGGCTGACACGTTTTCTGGAGACTGAGGGGGTTGTGTGTTTTCTGTGTTGTGGTCCCACTCTACAATTTTCTTTCCCCCATCCAGATTAGCAAGGCATCTACAAAAAGAGGCACAGTCTCAGCACAACAACTCGGAATTCACAGAGGATCAAAAGGTGAGTATTGCTGTTTGCTCAGTTATGGAGTTTGACTCATAGGTGTTGATGTGCGCTATGGTTCTTTGTATCTCACAGACCAGAGCCTTGGAGATTTTTCCTCCCTTGATATGCACAAACAGAAACAGAGCCCACCATGGCTAAAACAGTTGCTGTCATTGGATGTGGCTGATGCTGTGCTGTGTAATATTGAATATCATGCATGCTGGCCAGAGTTCTTCATAACCCGAAGAACTTTTTTTGGGTGACCTTTTGATAACTTGCTTATTCAACTTTAGCACAACTTCTGTTGTGAAGTCTGAATACAAAATGTCTTGAACTGCAGACATCGAGGGTGTGTGAGGAGGATGTTAGCTTAACATGTAACACCTGACTGGGAAGGGTCCTGGCAGAATACTCCCTACTAGTCTCTTAGAATGTTATTTGTTTATCATCTTTCAAAATATTGAAATGACTTTACCCCTTCCACCCTCTCCTCAGTTGAAAAGGCTGTTTCTTGTCTCAGCATCATATTAGTGCAATTCTGTGACAGGGTTTAGAAGGAAGATGCTAGCTGAGGTCTCATACACTCAAGCATTTTCAGCAAAATAAATTTTTTTGAAATACGAGGCCTTGCTAAATTTTTGTGTCTTGTTTAAGGGCATGTTTTTTCTTACGAATACTAAATTAGAGACCCCCTGTATTTCCAGATTTCCAAGTCATAAGATCAGTTGTTTGAGCAATGGAATTGCCTGAAGACTGACATTTGCTAGCCCAGAATCCCACCTATGGTAATGTGGTGCTAGAGTAATGGGATTTGTATTTGGAAATGTTGGTCCTGAAAACAGATCCTGACTACAGAAATCGGAGATGAATTTAAAGATGTTTAAAGAAACTCATTACAAAGCAGTACACCTTTACATAGTCTGATAGTGGTTTGTAACTCTTTCCTTGACACATACCAGTAAAAAAAGCAAAGAGCTGGTCCTTCCATGTTCTCTTTACCTTCTGCAAAGAACATAAGGCTTGTGATCATCTTAAACTGAGTCAGTCTTGGAGAAGGATTGGGTCCCTTTCCTGACCTGAAGGCTTGGAAGCCCTGTTAATTTTGGACAGGTGTTTACTCTTTGATTGCTTCTGCACTGTATCCCTTGCTGGTAGCTTTCTCCATCATTCTCAGCTATAGTCATCTTTACTGCATGTTTCCCCTCTGTGGATACTTTTGAAAATATGGTTACTTTACGAAGGCGAAGCTGTTAATTTTACTTCTGTGAGTATGGGAACCAGAACCACGCAGGGCTTTGCTTCCAGATGTTCCCTGAATCTTGTGGAAAAGACCTTGGACCAGATTGTGGAAGTAAGTGAGGTCAGCCGCGGGGGAAGGCCTGGGGGGCTCAGGAAGCAGAGATAACTGACCTCGGATGTTAGATGTGCAGCTGCAATCATATCTTAAGGCAACTGCCTTCTGAAAAGAAAAAATTAGTGGCTGTTTTGAATCCTTGCAGAGTGGTACCTGTTTCTAAAGCTGATACAACTTACCAAAGAGGTTGACATGTATATCACTTGTGTTGGTGTGTGGGGTTTTTTTGTGTTTTGGTTTTTTTTTTGCAGATCAGTAAGGGGCTGATGCACTGAAGCTTTGAGCCTGGTTATCAAAGAGTGATGCCTATTTCATTAGCCAGATACACAGCTGAATTCCCCAACATTTTGTTGAGAGAACATTGTCTTTCCCTCCTCAACCATGAGGAATGCTAGTCTCAACAAAAATAAGTCTTGCTATTGCTTTGAAAGAAACACATAAAACTCTGTACAGAAAAATCTTTTAGTCTGATATTAAGCTCCTTGCTGTTCTGGTCTTCCCTATTTCTGCAGGAGCTCGGCCAGTATAATCAAATGATCATGAACAATTACTATCATCGCTAGTATCATTCACTTGGCGTGTAGGGGTAGAGTTTAGCATGCTTCTGGGATTTCAAGCAGTTTGAGTAACGAGAAGTGTATCTTCTCTCTCGCCACCCTTGAAAAAATCCACATACCAAAACAGCCACTTTTGCTCAACTAAGTTCCTGCCAATGCATCCACCAGCAGGCTATTTTTTCCTGGTTCTGGAAATTGTCGTTCCCTAATATCCTGTCTTTCCGAGGTTCTGTATGTCATATAAGAATCCCCTCTTTATTTTTTTGAATGTAGAACAGTGTGTAAACTTCAGGGTTAGCTTATCTGATATTACTGGCCAAGGCTGTGCACAGAATGTCATTGATTGGAGAGGGCAAGGCTGTGATGCTAATTATGATTTCTAGTTGCTTGATCTACCCTCCGTCCAGTCTTTGTGTAGATTTACAGTTAGCTGTTTTCCAAAGGACCATATATACTGCTGAGAATTACTAAGAAGCTGTCATTGTTTCTTACTCAACATATTGTGTGGGGAAGGTGGATTTCAGTAGTGATTTCTCTGTACCAAATGAAAACTACTAGCTTTACAGGGAAAGGACAAGGCTAGGTTCAAATCCTCAGCCCCATCTGTCTGTATAAACTTTTACCATGTTTGGGTTTATTTCATGCATCACAGGTGGTGTGACAGTGCAGATATGGCCACACCATAGTTAATGGTGTGACTTGCTAATGTAATCATACAGTCTGTTAATATAACAACACTTGACAGATGCCACCAATTTTTTTTCTAGGCATACCGTGAGCCAGTTATCATTTATCTTACAATAAATGTATTGTTTATGGTAAGAATTCAGACTTTTAAATATTCATATCTTGCCTTTTTGCTCTTGATCTGAAGAGTATGTTTTGAAACACTGTGTGCTACTTCCCTTAATAGAGCAGACTTGTCTACAGAATTTGACATTCGTTGGAATTTCACCTTCTGGGGGTTGTCGTCTTATATCTACTGCTGGACATAATTCTGGAGTTTTAGTCCTTAGGGAACATTCTGTCTTGACTTGGATAATTGACAGTGCTGGAATCTTCATTAATGTGAATTTTGGTGAGGAATTTCTCTGCAGATAAATACTGTAAACAACAAATCATTGTGCTTAAATCTACTCACCCTACAACAGCTTTAAGGAGGCTGTGCAATAATTTCATCACCTAGAAGCTGTGTGTGGAATAGATACAGTTAGTGGTGGATTTACCTCAGTCTTAACATCTGCATCCTGCTGTTCTTTATTTTACCTTCATTCTCTAAAAATGCTATCTTCATTCATGATCAACCACTGTGTTTTGCTACCTGAATCATTCCAGTTAGGTTTGGCCATGGTTGTCAGCTTGTCTCCAGCTATAGTTACTCTCACCCTGTTCTCTATGCAGTAAATTTGACCTTTAAAGCCCTCTTCTAACTGCAGTTGTTGCTTCTCGTGTAACTGTTTTTGTGTTAGGCTGAGTTTTCTGCAGTATTAGAAAATCATGCTTTTTTTTTTTTTATGCAATGGTAACTTGCTGAAATAAGAGCACTGTTAAACAGTCCTAGCATGATTCATTAAACTACTGGTCTCCTAACAGCCTAGACCTCTCTTTAAAGCCAAACTCTGCTCTGGCTCTGTATTTATGCAAACATCTTTGACTGCATTACAGTTAGCACAGTCATTACTCACACAACTGCACTGAAGAAACCTTGACTACGAGATCAACTGACTTTTTCCCTTTCTAATCATGAGTTTACGTAAAACTGAATCTTAACTATTTTAAACTAGCAAAGTTAATTATGACTTCAGTCTTTCTAATGAGATGCAGAATGTTTTCCCTGCTGCAAAAAGGAGCCTTTGCATGGGATAGTTACAACTGAAAATGATAGCAGTGTTTAGCTGCATTTTTAACTTTTGGGTTGGGTGTGGTCCCTTAAAAAAATAGTTATGAATAATGCCTGCTGGGAGCTTGCCATGTTTCAATAGATTCCATATAAAACCTATTCTTTACTATTTTAAGACTCCCAAACTCTCTTCAATTAATCTGTTTCTAGAGCCATTATTGCCCTTCAGCCCCCAGGACCCTGAGGACGCACATTTTGCGTTCCTGTTTGCCCTGTTAGGACGTACTGAGCTCAGGCGGTTTTAAGAATACACAGTTAGGAATCTTCAGGGTAGGGAACAGGGGTGTTGCTGAGCTTATTGGTGAATTGACAAAGGAGATAGGGGTTGAGCAGTGCTCTTTGAGACCTTATTTATGGTGTGGGCTTAATGCTCTGCATGTGAGACAGGGAGGGGAAGAGCTATGTGAAAATCTGTTTACATGTTCTGATTCCGTGGTGGGGCACACAGACTGCGTGCTGGCACCGTGCAAACTTGTAGCCCTCTGTCTGTGGTGCGTTTGGAGGGGTTTTGATCTAACATGGACTGGGCAGGCTCTTTGCTCAGCAGTCAACACCCAAACCATCAGAACAGCTGGGTTTTTGCAAATGTTAGAGCTGTAGTCAAACCTCAGAGACTTCCCTCCCTTCCCTGGGGAACCTCTGGATTCCTTTCTTTTACCCATTACTTCACACCTTCCTCTTTAAAATTCTACCTTTGCAAATGTTTTCAAATATAAAAAGGAATTCCTTTTATTACACTGCAGCTGGTTAGGTGGATATAGTGCATTCTCACCCTAGGGACTGAGAAGCTGCTCCTGTAGTACTATCTGGTGTCTTCCCATTGAGTCTGAAGGTACATGTAAATTCACAAGACCTGTGTGTGAAGTGTGGGTCTGAAAGCGTCAAAATAAATCCAGGACTGCATGTATTCTTTTCTTTTTCAAAAAAAATCTGTGTTTTTCCAAGCTATTCTGGAGGTCCAGCTATGGATCTCTCTTACGTAGCAGAACTTATGTTAGGGAGGTAGAAGTTTGATTGAACCTAGACTACAAAACGAACCCCCACAGAAATGGAGCTGTAATATTTTTACTCTGCCATGTTGTATGCAAACATACAGTCACATTGCTCTATATTAAAATTTCCAAACAGCACACTGCTGCACATGCTGCATCCTAGGCAGAGCAGAAAACAATATGTGTGTCCTCTGCTGATACGCATCACTCGCTACTTTCCTGGAAGGTACTCAGAAGAACTAAATTTTTTGTAAAAGACCACCATACAATGGACAGTAATATAAATTACGAGGATGTAAAGTCTGGGCTAATGCCATCTTGTAACAGAGTGTTTAAGATGAGAGGAGGTACCAGTTGGGGAGAAAGGACTTTTAAAATCTTTGATGAGCCTATAGTGGCAGATGAAAATCAAGTATCTGAGGCTTTCACGCACCCCAGCTGATGGCTCTGTCCTTGAGGTATTGATGTCTGATCTGCTTGTGATTCAGCTGCTGAACTCTTTCAGCTTTCGTGTGGCTTAAGGTGAACTGAAACTGGAGACACTTAGCTTTTAGCCCAGCCGATTGAAACTAGCAGTGGCCCAGGAGCTGACTGAGAAGGAGTTGTGACATCCCTTTGCAGGAGAGTCAGAGCAGATGACTAGGGAAGGTAACTGTGAAACCATGCCTAGTTTTTATCTGTTGCTACAAACCTCTCGGAGCCCTAAAACGTAACCCTGCTTTAAAGGAAAGTTTTGGCTTTTGACCGATACCACATAACTTGCCAGATGCCCGTACTCTTGAAGCGCTTTGATGCTAGAGTTGTGCTTTAGGAAATCTTTTCCTCTCCTTGTATCCATCTTGGGGGGGAGCTGTTTGTATACTGCCTGATTTAAAAGGAGAGAATGAGTTACAGGTGTGTATTTCAACTTTAATCTTCCTTCTGGGGGAAGAAAAACTTACTTTGAAAATAAAATGCTTTTTTTTGTAGCTTCATTGTTGCTTTTTTCCGCCCCATAAATGTTCTACAGAATGTTTTGAATTATATTTGGCCCTTATCTCTGCAGATAGTCTTAGTTTTTCTTCACTAAAACCTTTTAGTTAATGAACAAACTTGTCGTGGTCAGGCAAGGTAAAAGTTGAGGTCAGTTATGGAAGTCAACTCCTCCTTTCAGCTGGTAGTAATAGGGACAAATGTGACTTACTGGAGCTTCTTATTTGTGAGACACAAAAGCTTAAGTAGCACTGTCTTCAAAGTAAGATTGCTAGCAATGGGTTATTTTGAATCCCTTCCCTCTCTTCTGCATTTTTAAATGAAAATGAGAAATTACTTCACAGTTCTGCTCAGGGATATTTTAGATAGCTGACAAGTTTAAATCAAAGAGTATGTTTCATGCTTCACTTGGAGTTTAAATGTCTTAAAATTACAAAAATAGAAAGTTAGAAAAATAATCCGCCTTTATACTTCCTCTCCCACCAAAACCCACAAAAGCAAACTGTGTTTTTTCAGTGCTGAGATACTGGGCTTCTGTAACTTCTGAGGAGGGTTGACTTGGTCTGCTGAGATTGTAAGCTCGATAGGGGAACTGTAAGCATGAGTCTTAAAGGGCAAATTAGAACAAACCACTCAAGTTCTCAAGAAGGTAATACACTGGTTGGATTGGATTTTTTTTTTCTCTCTCCCCTATCACTTCAGAGCAGTTGAATTTATAAACAATTTATGATGTGGTAGGCATTATTACAGTTTCTGCTGAGTGAATGACCCCCATCTGTGGTGATGAGCTGTGGGAAGTTAAGTGGCAGATGTCTGTTTCATCTATTGTGCTTTCAGAAAATTTTGTGTATAAAAAAAGGTTTTGATGTTGAATGATCTGATACTGATTAATAAATCTGAAATCTTTGCAAGGAAAAGCAATTGTTTGTATTTATATTTTTTCTTTTTAAAATTTGAATATGAAAGAATACAGTTTCAGTAACTTTTTACTAAATAAGTAACTTTTTTTCTTTCAGAAAACCATAGCTAAAATTGCAACATGCTTGGAACTGAGAAGTGCAGCTTTACAGGTATAGCTCTTTTTCCTATGTGACTTCATAGTTTAGTGATAGGTAACTGTAGAACTTTTTAAAGATAGTTTAGTGTCTTCAGACATAGCCAAAATTTCTGAAAAAAGAGTGAACAAACCCTTGAACACTTGGACTTTCCAGGTTGTCAACATGATGCCCCAGGTGACTGCCTTAAAAACCTTTAAGTACTTATATGAGCATGTGTTAAGGTTTTACAGGAATTTAACCATAGGTTTTGTGTCTTTGGTTCTTTGCCTCATTTTCCTCCTTCAGAACTGATTAGTTTGTCTTCCAAACCTGTGTACAAGGGTAAAAAGATCACCAGAGTGACCATTGCACTTTTTCAGCCACTTCACAAATAATAGAGCATGAGGAAAAACATGTGTGTAGAAGAATATTTATTTTGTAGCAGTCATGAAAACTGGCAGTACTGTAGGTAAATGTGTGAAAATAATGATTGAGAAGCTACTCTTTGGGCTTCTTTCTGGCCTGAGGTAGATGGCATGGAAGTTAATTTCTTTTTCTCTCAGCACAATCTTATCCCCAAAACAAAAGGGAAGTGAGAGAAATTTCCAGAAGAATGTGGATGGGTGAGGGATGAAACAACTAAAATAAAGTTTAGAATCATAGAATGGTTTGGGTTGGAAGGGACCTCAAAGATCATCTAGTTCCAACCCCTCTGCTGCGGGCAGGGACACCCTCCACTAGCCCAGGTTGCCCAAAGCCCCATCCAACCTGATCTTAAACACTTCCAGGGATGGGACATCCACAACCTCTCTGGGCAACCTGTTCCAGTGCCTCACCACTCTCACAGTAAAGAATTTCTTCCTAATATCTAATCTAAATCGACCCTCCTTCAGCTTGAACCCATTACCCCTTGTCCTGTCACTACATTAGTTCGGGTTACTAGATCATCTCTTTACCAGGTGACAGGCAAATTTTACATCAAGTTACTAACAGGAGTGCTCCTGAGTACTTGGTGTGGCTGTACAAGGTGCAGCAGCTCTGTTGTGCTACCTTCAATTGTCTGAGAGGCTGGGATACACTGACAGTTCAGGCAGCGTACTGGAGCTGGGCTAATGAGTCTCAAGGCTGGGGAGTCTCAAGGCTGTGTGCGGTGTTTGAAGAATTATTTGGTTAGCTCTACCTGTCTTTCTATTTTGATCTAAACTAGGGTGTTTGAACAGCGTTGCATTTGTTCTGAGTGACTTTGTGATGAGGGCAGGCATGTTCCATTGTGGGACAGCTTTGAGGGTCAGGTCATGTCTCAGCAACAGCAGAAGATACAGGAATGTCATAACCTGCCAAACTGAAGAGGTGTCTTGCAAGAACAGCTTTCCCTGCTGTTGGTTCCTCAGCAGTAACTCAAGGATTTTTATAACCTCATGTCAGGGTACTAGAACTTCTCATCCACATCACTTTGGGGAGTGTTTTACCTGCTGCAGGTTTTTTATGATTTCTTAGCAGAGATTAAAGCTGTTAGTGAGTGTGGGTCATTTTTTCCTGTTCTTCTAACAGTATGGGTATAGCTGCTTTACTGTCCTTCTGCAGTCTTGCAGAAGGTCCCTGCTGACACTTGGGCAAAATCAAGAAAAATGTCAGACCTTAAAGAAAAGTTGAAAACAATGGGTAATCTTTCTTGAGATTCCAAGAGTACAATGACACAATAGGTAAGACCTGATCCTCTGCCTAAAAGAGGAGGTCCAGTGTCAATCCTCTTACTTGCACCACTTTTTTTATGACAGCTCATCATCTCAGAATAGGCTAGTTCAGCTTGTCAAACTGTCGGTGAACTACCTCAGAATAAAAAATGAAAAGCTTTTCTGTTGAGTTAGTCAAATAGGCTTAGTGAGAAGCAGACATATGCTACAGCCAGATGAGGAAACTGCATCTTCAGAGTTGGAGAAAGGAGAGATGGGAATCCTTCTTCCATTTGCAGTGAGCCCTTAGCTGAGTGTTTTGTCAAGCTCACCCTCAATACTGTAATTTCTGCCAGTGTTACATTGTTGGACGTGTGTCCTGAACTGTGAATGCTGCTGTTGGAGCATCACTTTGCAGTGCAGTCTTACAGCTGATTTTGCTTCAGAACAACTTGATTGGGGAAGAATTAAAACAAGTCCCTCTGTCGTAACATTCCTGTGTATAGTAAGTACGGAAGACCGACTAGTTCCTTTAAAATTTATCTTGCGTTATAGCTTGGAACATGGGGTAAGTTTGTTCTCAATAATGAGAAGTTATGTGCTTTCTGCCTCATCTGTGAACCTAGCCTCTGTTGGGGAGATTGTTTGGGTTTTTTTAGGACGTAGCTTTGAAGTAACTTGGTACACATGAATGAAGGAAGCATCTTGCATGCTTGTACTAGGACACGGTAGCTCTGTGTGAGGTGAAGGTGCATGCTAAGGTCTAACTCTGTCTTTGTAATGTCCTAGTCCACCCAATCACAGGATGAATTTAAGCTTGAGGATCTGAAGAAGTTGGAACCGAGTAAGTAGTATCTTTATATCTTAAGCGAGTGACATTTATCATTACAGTGGAAAATGACAGCAGTATGAATACTGACTCACCACAGTGTGGTTTGACAGTAATGCTGATTTTAGGTGGCTCTTCCAAATATATATTATCACATAGACAAAACTTGATGTGTATTAAGGAATGTAATGTGAATAACTTTAAAGTATAGTCATCTTAAAGTTTCAGATAATGTATTTGTCTTTATTCTCAAATAAATTCTCAAAAATTCTTTGGGTGCTGCTAATTTTTGCGCAAAATAGTAATTTAAGCTATCAGTAGTACAGTATATAATCAGCTGGAAAACTTACCTGCACATTTCTCATTTGAATTGAATTTCAATGCTTTGTGGTCTTCTTCCTTGCAGCATGAAATTTATTTTTCTTCTGAAAATATTTAACTTGTGCTCATGGTAGCCAAGGACCTGTAACCTGCCACCATAATGTTACCAGACTAACGAAGTGAGGATGTGAGTCAGTCTTTGAAGGGTTTTGTGTGATGTTGTTTTTTCCCCAACTAATCCTGGGACAGTTCTTGGTATGTCATTCCAGAAATAACTGTTTCATGTAGGAAGTATCTATTTATCTGCTACATTTTCCCTCCTGTAACACTGGCTGCTTTCTTCTCAAAGCATCCTTATGATCAGAGCTTCCACATCTAAGCAATATTATCCTGAATGCTGAAGTTTCTGCTATTCTTGGGGAACAGGAGACGTGGAAGAGCTTCTTTCATGCTGGCAAAAGTTGGTTTTGTTTTGCTCCTGTCACAATTGTATCACTAAAGGGAATATTGGGAATAAACATCATGGGCAGACAAGTGTTTCCACTTCATGAATAAACTGAGCTTCTCTGCACTCCCATTCTTTAAGTAACCAGCACAGGATCCTACAGGGAAGCTTGTCAAGAAGCAGAGTGTTGACTTGAGGTTCCTAATGTCTCTACCAAAACATAGAGTCCAAATGCTTTTAAACTGTTCCCTGAAAATGGAAGGTCAAGGTACTTTATAAGACTACTAACTCTGTGAAGACCATAACTCAGGAAAGTGTTTAACTATGTGTTGGAAGTATTAGGTCTTTCTCAATCTGCATATTGCATGGCTGGCCTCTGCATCCTCTGATTTGGGATTATTTTGTATAGATACTCCTGCTTTCTGTTTACAAAGTATTTAAAATGTTATAATCATTTAATGACTGTGGATTTTAGACTCCATTGTGCAAAAGCCCTGTAAATGAATGAATGGTGGAAGAGGCAGAAGAATCATGTTTTAACTGATCAAACTGTTTTACAAATCAAAGGAAGTGACTATTGAAGAGTTTAGTCACAATTTACGTTCTGCCAACAGCTGTAAAGCTTCCTTTGAAATGCCTCCTTAAAAGCCAAAATTTCAATTATGGTGTAACATCCTGTTGCTTATCTTGTCCTCCCATCAGAGAACTGATTTTTACCTGTCAAAAAAACTGTTCAACAGTGGGAAGCGCATTCAGCCCACACTTCATACAACAAGCAACTATATTAAAACTGAGGAGCAGTGTGTGGCCATCAGTTTTCAAAGACGCTGAGTTATTTTCCTTGGAGAAGAACGGGTGCTTCTATGACAACAATTGAACATTGGCGTTCTTAATGCTGCTGTCTGACTTGGATTGTTCTGGCACTTTTTCTGTGAATTGTGCCTTTGTTTTGTGGTTTTTAAGTATATATTGAATAGAATAAATCTTAATCGGGCCAACACCAGCCACTTCATAAAATACACCGTGAAGTGTTTTAATTTGCATGTTGTCAGTTTTCTCTTGCGTTCCACCAGAAAAAGCTTAAAAAAAAAAAAGAAAATCTGAGCTGGCAATGCAAATAAGCAGTTCCTTTGTTAGGTCAAGACATTCTGTTGGGGTGGAACGAAAACAGCTATTCACACAATTTGGCTTGTTTTAATTACTTTTGTGCCTGAAGCTGTCAAAAGGGCTGAGAAATTTGGTTTGGGTGTTGTTATAACAACCAAGGCCCTTAGATTTAACCTTTTTTTTTTTTTCCTCCCTTGTATTGTCAAGTTCTAACTTTTCCTACTTAAGCTTGCATTTCACGCTGCTTGGAAAGTGAAGCACTTGGCTAGTTTTGTTTGTTTATAGGATTTGTCACTGAATCTTTTGTGCTAGTATAATGCTACAGGAGGGTCCATACATGCAAATAATTCTTCTGAGACTACACTGTGTGAAATCATTGCTAGCACATTGGGTCTCACCAATCCTTTTCTTGTGAAAGCTTATTCATGTTACAGATGGATAGGCTGGGACATCCCATGTGCCTGTGTTCATGTGTGATAATTCTAGCCACTAAGCAACTGGTTTCATACTCAGTGTATATGTATTTTAAGAGAAACAGATACTGGGTTGTACTGGGGAGCCTGCTTTCTGAATTATTTTGTGTTGTCTATTTAAAAAAAAATAAAGCAGTACAGGTATCGTAGGCTGTCACTAAAAATCTAAATGGACAGTGGTCTTTACCAAGTTTGTGTGTAGTGGTCTTACAGCTCATGTTGATAACTTCTTTTGAAATCTTTCAAGAGAGCCAGCTGCTGATAAAATCAATGTGATATTGTCCAACATCACGAAAGAAAAGGCAACTTCTGCATGAGAGCCTGCAGAACAGTACTTCAAATAAAAAGATTTCAGTTGGAAAAGCAACATAAATGGAGGCCACAATGCTGGGATCTGCCCATTAGTTACACATGTGAAGAACTTTGCAGCAGCAGCATTAGAGGGAAAGTGCTCTTTCTCCCAGAGGTGATGTGTGTTTTTAAAACAAAACAAAAACCAAAAAAGCCCAAACCAACCTCTTAAAGCTTGGGTGTCTTATGCAGTATTGCAAGGGATATTCCTGTTCATTGTAACCTAATGCTTTTTCTTAGTGACTTTAAGTATTTCACCAGGCTGAATGCTCCTGATGATGTTTAAAGGAGCACTTCAGTACATCACTGTATTGCAACTCTGCAAAATTATTTGCTATTGGTGGTGAGACAGAGCTGAAGGCCTTTTAAAAACTTGATTCACAGCTTTCTGTGGGAAAAGGCAAGAGATTCTGGATGGTGTTTCCAGAAGTGCTTGAGCTAAATGTTCAGCATCACCTTTGTTACCAACACCCGCAGGATGTCTGAAAGCAGTGTACTCCTGTGGGCAGGTCTGATATCGACGCCCGTGTGCGTGGCTGCAGCTCAGTGGCAGGAGGGTGTCTGCTCAGCTCTGCCTCCGGGCAGGATCAAGATTTTGGGCGCTGTAAAACTGTTTGCCTTTTTCCTGTGCTCGTATTGGTGGAGTATTTCGTGCCCTCTAGTGATAGCTAGATGAATTACTAGGAGGTTGGGTTTTTTCCAGGGGATGTTCATTCACATAGTGAGAGAAACTGGTTACTGGGAAGAAAGGAATTTAGTGCTTACCAACCTTTGGAAGATGGGAAGAGAACTGCTGTAATTTCTATTGCTTCCAAAAAAACGTGCCTATGATTTGCAAGAGATCTTGCTTTACTGAAATTTCTCTGCCTGGTACAGTTTCACTTTCTGTCTCTGGTACGATGTAGCTCTCCAAGAGCTGGGGAATTCTGAGTGTGATAAAAATCCCCTTTTCCTGAACCTCGGCTGCACTGGACGGTGACTGTCTATTGTTAATCAGCTGCTTTTCTGTTGGGAAGTGGCTGTGATTCTTCACCACCATGGTGAGATCGGCATTACTGATTCCCTCGGAGCAGAAATCTTTGGAGAGAGAGAGAGACTTGGCATCAGTTTTTGTCTGTCACATCTCTGAAGGCAACTTAAAGTTTTCTATGTATTGTGTCTAGGTGGAATCAGACAGTACCTAACCTCTCAGGTGGTGGTACAGAAATCAGAAAAAAAAAGTCAGAATGAGCAAAGGCTAGAAAGACTTTTTGGGTTCTTTATAGTTCCCCTGAGGCATTCTTTATTCATTGTAGCGTTCGGATGGTGTCTGGTAAGTTAATGATGGAGCCTACACTGAGTGATGTGAATATGAAGACAGACAGGGAAAAGCTCTGCTACACTGGCTGAATTGTAGTGTGCAGACAGAGCGGCCTGGCAGTGGTTCCTTAAACATAACTGTTATTTAGTACCTCTGGGTATTCACGTAATCTTAACACTGCTTTAAAAGTTTTGTTCTTATTCAGTAGTCCTAGGGGGAGATTTCCAAAATGTGATCTGAGAGGGCCTAGTGCAAAGTGAAGCTCAGTGGGAGGACTCAGTTTTTTCTACCTCCTCTCCCCCTACCCAGTCTGAGATACTCGTCGTCTGGTAGGAGAGTGCCTCTCCCTGCAGGCGTTTTCTTGTAAACTTTAGATCCTTTAGCCACCATGAAATGCTTATTTCTTTTACATGCTTTTGGAAGTTTTGCTTTTACTTGTAAATGCTTTTGGAAATAACAGCTGCCGTTGTGATTACTAAAAGTTGAGTAAGTTTCCAATACAAATGGCAAAGCCATTCTCCACCAAATGCTAGAGAGTATAGTTGGTGTCTCTGGGGCTTGATGCTCCAATGTTGCACTGTATCTCTTCTGAATTTTGATAATCTGCGCAGACATCTGAGGGCAGAAGAAAGAAAAACAAAACAAAAAACCCCAACAAAAAAATCCACTCAAACCCATCACCACCAAAAACCCAAAACGCATGCATGAAGAAGCAAGAAGTCTCAACTAAGCTGTGTGTTGGACTCCCATGGTGGTTGTCTGAATGTGCAGCCTACATGTGTACTTCACTGTGTCACTTCAGGAGACTTAATCCGTTTGATGCCAGTAACAGTACCACCCTCCTTTCAATAGCCACCAAAGATTACTACCATTACCTTGGTGCCTGTAGCTTTTTCTCATGATGCTTTTAGTTCTTGCCATGTTTATCTTCCTTGTCTGTGTAAATGTGGAGGTGATTATGTACTGGAGTTGCAGTTAGCCTATCTGAATGTTATAGTGACATAGCTCTGATCAGGACTGTACTGGTGTTTGAAATGGGAGAGGGGATTTTTGTATGATTTGATTATTTTTAGAATATTATTATTACTTGTGCCTGTGAAGAAAATGTGAGAACGGACATAGCTGTGTAAAGTAGTAGAAATAATGCTTGTTTATGGATATGAATTCTTATTTTTTCCCTTCTCTGCAGTCTTAAAGAATATCCTCACTTACAATAAGGAGTTCCCCTTTGATGTTCAGCCTGTCCCACTCAGGTAAGAGAGAACTGGGTCACTTCATGTACAGATGTGTATCTGAAAGGGAGCATGGCCTGGGACCTGGTATATATCTGAAATGCTAGAATTTCTAGAGCCACCTACTTGCTGTACTGCTTTGGGTAAACTGGTTAATAAAAGAACTTTTGAATTCTGTTTGTCTAGGTACCACTAAAAATCAAGCCCATGCTTTTGGTAAAATCAGGACTTGGTACATCCCTACATCTCTCTGAAATTGCCGGTATTGTCTCTTGTTTTTAGACTGTGCTTTCTATTGGGCTGAGCTCCTGCAATCTCTGTCAGAGTCTATAGGTACAGGTAGTAGTTTATAAGAAGTATGAAATGACATTAAAGCACGTTGTCCCTGCTCTATACTCAGATGCTGAATTGTGAATTGAAAGCCAGATGATGATCTTTGGTCTCATTGTTCTTTCTCATGTTTTACAGGAAGATTTTAGCACCTGGAGAAGAGGAACACTTGGAGTTTGAGGAGGATGATGAGGAAGGAGGAGCTGGAGCAGGGTCTCCAGACTCTTTTCCTGCTAGAGTTCCAGGTAGGGGCACTAGCCTTGCCAAGCCAGCCTATGTAGCATGTATAAGTTCTGTCTCTGAGAAGCCCCTTTCTCCACCTGTGATTTGAAAAGTTTAGGTGAGGAGCAACAGGTTAATGTAAACTCTAATGCTGTATTGGAGAACCACAGAGGTGGCCAGTGGATTTCTTTTTTTTCTCAGCAAACGCTATCTTATTGCAAAACAATTGTGTGGATAACCTGTGAGGGTGATACCATCTACCTCAAATAATTAGCCTTTATTCCTATGTGAAGTTTCAAACGCATTCAAATGTAAATTGTGGCAATGTTTCTCCTACAAGGAGCATCACGTCCTGGTAGAGATGCTGTAAGTTGTTGCTAGTTATTTTTGTGTTGCATCATCTGGTGAGACAATGGCTTAGACTAAAGCCAAACTCTGAGAGGATGAAGAGGGGGTGGTTTTGGTTTTGATAGCTTAAGTCTGTGTGTGAAAGCACTTGTAGAACTAGTTATACCTACAGATTCTAGAGAAGGTCTTTCTGTAACTTCAGCTTTTGACAATTTATCGGGTAGAGGAGTAGGATGCTCCAAGAGAGGTTCTTCTGGTTCCTGGTTTCTTTGCAGAAAAACCCCAAATTTCTAGTTTCAGAGCAGATTGGCAAACTTTGTATTTTAGGAAGGAGAAAAAAGTAGGGAAACTAGTACTAGAATTATGGTCAAAAGAGCTGGGGTGTTGCGTTACTTATGCCTGGAGAACACACATCTCTGTTCTTAGATTTGAGCCAATGCATGTTACTGGATATGATCCCTGCGGGCAATACTGATGTAGATATGCACAGTCTACTGTTGTTTATGTTAAGCTCACAAATAGGCTATAATATATTGTGATATTTTATTGCTGACATTGATCCTTGTCATTCACCATGATAAATCCATTTATGAAGATGTGTTCTGTCTCTCCAAAGTACAGTAGAGAGACCTTGAATAGCTCTTTGGTGGTGAATCAATAAGGCCGTGACCATTACCGTAGTGCCAACAGTTACTTCTGTGCAATGTTAGAGCTGTACACATGTAGTGGACATAGAAGCTGTGTATGTGCTTAAGAAAGAATCAAGTTGATGATATATTGCGTTTACAGTTAAATGATTTTTGAAGTAGGGTAGGCAAATTGGAAAGAAGTTTGGGGCATATACTTTTACAGAATTATTCTTCAGTAAACCCATGCTTTTAAGAAGAGGTGAGAGCAACTCCTAAACTTACTGGTATTTTACATTGTCATCTACTTCATAAACTGCATATCTGACTTTCCTGAGTTTTTTTGCATTAAGGTGAACTTCCCCATAGCTACTATAAATAATCTGAACCCCTAAGGTGGTTTTGGTTTTGTACTACTTGAACACAGATCTTGTTTCCCCATTGAATGTAAATCAATGTGGTGTTCCTTACCTGATGGGAGGTTGGTCTGTTGCTCTTTCTCTGGGTGATGAGGTTTAAAAGCCGTTTGCAGCCTTCTGGGGTGAGCCTTATAAGTAAAGTGAACTTTCCATATTGAATTGATAGAACTGTGTTGCACTCTTTGCTTCTATATGCCTTTAATCCATAGTGCGTAACTGTATTGTCTAACTGATCATGGTCTTGTCTTCTACATGCATGGCTTCATCGTTATCACTTTGCACCATTCATCTAACCCAGGAGCCAATGAAGGTATGATAACCTTTTAGTATATACAGTTATTTCTTTGATCATATTCATGTAGCTACGATGGTCTTCATTCAGCTTTTCATTTGAACCCTCAAAATACAATCTTTGGTAACAATCATAGTAGTAGGCATCTATGTGTTGATCTTTATTTGCCTTCAGTACCAGAGAAAGGCAAGGTTGTATTTGGTGATGCACCTTACATAGCTCTCTAGAAGTCCTACTGTGCTAATGAAGACATTCTGACTCGCAGTGTAGCCAAAGGTAGGTGTAGCTAGATTTTCTTCACTGGAATACACATCTTATGGGAGATCTTACACAAAGACTACTTTATGTAGTTAGACTTCTGAGCTGAACTGACCAATAGCTTGCTGCCTCTAACAGCAAAGGTTTCCTGCTTTTCTCTTGGTTATATACTTCTTTATTCCAATGCTGTGCTGGCAAAGGATTCTTCTGTGAACCATTTCCATTTGTGAACACAGCAGGAGACTTGTTGCTTTTTCCCCCCTATCTCTGAATCGGGGTTGGGAACGGAGAGACTGAATGCTTGTGTCTTGGTGGCAGTGAGCTGTTGGGTTGGCTCACCTTTATGTATCTGAAATGCACTTATAGGAGGACACATATTTCATTTGTAGATGCTCCCTTCTCCCTCTGGCAATGATGCCCTGTGGTTGCGTCTGAAATGGCTGGCAGTTTTCTCATGGAAAGCCTCAGTGTGAGCCTGCTGAAGGCTAATGAGCCCAAGCCATGGTGGCAGACTGGCAGTGCAACACCTAGCCCTAGTAAAGTTACACCATAGAGAGGTTCCTGTCAGCTAATGGCTCCTATGTGAAATGACTACAGGGGCTTCAGCGAAAAACCTGGTTGGGTGCTTGTGGCTGGCATGAGACAGGTTACAGTCAGCTGCTTTAGTCCACTGCTGGCTTGGCTGTTCCTCCTGCTGAGGCAGAAAGGAAACTGTGGTCCTTGGAGACCATCTACTTACTGTTCTCTTACCTGCTGGAAGTGAGCTTAACTTTTCTGTTCGTTACAACTTTGCAATTTCATACATTCTGGAAAGTATTTTTCAAGAACAGAATGATTTTTCTTAGGCCACTGTTTTTACAATACAATCTGATGCATCTTTCAGGTGATTTTTCTGTCAAGTATCCCATCACTTAGTGAGTGATGGATAGGAAAACGGAAAGTTACAGTTGCCCCTGGCTCTTGGGGGGGGCATGCTGCTTTTAGGAGACAACTGAAAGATGGCAAAACAGTTTTGTGCCAGTGAGAAGATGGGCTTGCTTCTGCCTTCATTTAGATTGAAATAAGGACTCTGTCTTTGAACATCTGTTCGAGAGAGACAGCAAGACTAGAGCGTGTATGCTGCTTTGCAGAAATGGATGCTCTCTAATAAGTTTGCTTTTTAACACTTCTCATACTATAGTCAGAAGCCTGTCCCATTACTTCAGAACGGTGGGTTGAATTCTGCTGTGCTATGTTGTGAAGTGTCTGCAGGTGCAGTACCTTGCAGGTCATGAGAGGCTGCTAGCAGCCATGACAGGAAATACAGAAGTGTACAGTATCATAGTTGTGAATTCAGGTCTTGCTGATGATCCTGAAAGGACTCAGTGTGGGAAAGTTCAAGAAATCTTGCTGAAGCTGTGCCTCTAGTTCTAAGAGCAGAATACATGGTCCTCTCTTAAAAAGCCAGTCTCTCTAATAGGACAAAAACTCCTTGGTTCTCCAGCTCCTCAAGCAGATCAAGAGGAAAAAAAAATATCGAGGAAAACCCATATTGGACTTGCCAAAGGAAACTATTGCTTTGTTTATATCTCAAGCCTTGGGATAACATTTTTTTAATTAGAAAACCAAAACTTTAAATCAAACTTGCTCATGAGTCTAAGCATTTCCTATCTTGGTGCTTATTCATCTAGTACTGGAGAGAGGCTTGAAGCCTGCCAGTTTTCACGAAAATCAGCATGAAGAAACCTACTCCATTGTTGATGACAATCTGATGGCTTTTAGTGAGTTTGAACAGTTTGGATTTCTTGCCAGCTGCGCTGTCTTCCTCAGCACTGTGAGGATTCATTTATGCTGACCACAATGTTTTGATGCTAAATGTTCTTGATGCAGAGCTGGGAACTCCTTTCTGAAGGCAGAATGGAACTTGAGGGGTGCAAACAGTATTTTTTTTTTTTTTTCTCCCCTTTGAGTAGAGGCCAGTAGAACTTTGATAACTGAGAATCTCTCTTCTGGTTCTCTTATGTCCAGTGGGATTTGCAACAATGCCATTTTCCTCCTTATTCTCCCAATCTAAATGTTCAACATGAAGCCAAGTCATGTTCAATGGGGTGGGACTCCTGATGAAGTGTCTGAACTTCCTGTAAGTGCAGATTGAATCCAGTCTTCCAAATTTAATGCTTAAAAATTATATAAAGTGAGTTCCATGAATGAGTTATTCTGCATGAGAGCAAGAGAGAACACTTTAAACAAAGCTCTCCATTCTTATGGCATTAGGTTTTTATGAATTCGTTTGACTTGAGGCAGTCCCAGAGTTTTTGGTGTGGGCTTTGAAATCTGTCAAATGATATTGTGTGTCTGCACTCACAGACTGCCCGTAGTGCTGTTTACTACTGTGACATGAATCCTTGGGCTTTGCACCTCTTAAGGAGAACAGCATCTTCCATGAGAGATGATGGGATAAGCAAGGCTCTGCTGTAAGATGACACGAAGGGTTAATAATATGCTTTACTCTTTCCAGGTACTTTATTACCCAGATTGCCATCTGAACCCGGGATGACATTACTCACCATCAACATAGAGAAAATTGGTCTGAAAGATGCTGGGCAGTGCATTGATCCTTACATCACAGTCAGTGTGAAGGGTAATGATTTCTGTTCCTGGCTCCTCATTTCTAGTTTGGAGAGAGTGCGTTTTCCAAAAGCTCTATTGATTTTTCAACCTGCTGGGAAAAAAATATTTGTTGGTACTTGCATTTTGTATTGTAGACTTAAGGCTTCTGCTTTAAACAAGGGTGGAAAAATTCTGTATTTGAGAGATACTGGGAGGTGAGTCACTGCAGGGGACATGCTTGTCTGTGTGCTCCGGGGTGCCTTCCCCATGCTGGGAGCTGAGTATCAGTGACTTGGCAGACTGTAATTCTCAATTCCAGCTTCTTCAGCTGACTCTTAAGTACAGATCTGTTTGGATGGCTTGTACTCTGCAGCACATACGGGTCTCCGGGCTTTCTGGAGATGGTGAACCACAGCCCGCTGACTCCATTCTTGCCCTGTCACTAAACTAATTTTTTAGTAAAACAAAGATCGTCTTACCAAGGCTTAAGGTTTAGATGAATGGGTATGAAGCAGGGAAGTAAAGCTTGCAAGTGAAATAAAATATGTTTTAGCCTTGGCAGTGAAATATTTTGGTCAAAGCCTGGTGGGGGCTAACAGCCTCCTGCTCTGAGAGCCTCCATGAATCTGGAAGAACCTCTGACAGTCTAGGATAGGCAACATGAGGATTTCTCACTGTTTCAGATGACAAAGTGGTTGATGTCTTTTGCTTGAGGCTGAAATTTTTGGTATTCAGACTCTTTCTAGTGGGAGCATCTGCCTCTTCCCCATTTTGCATTCCTTAGAAAGAAGCCCCTGTAGTCAGAATTCCTTACCTTTAACCTGCCCTGCTTGACTTCTGCTTATCTCTACAGTCTTTTGAGGTACATGATTTTTTTGTTTTGTTTATTGTATAACAATTTGTAGCTGAGCCAACAGCCTCTAGTTACTTCCAGTTGTGGTAGCGACCTCATATGTGTCCTCTATAGAAGTGCTATTGGATACCAAGCATAGGGATGAAATACTTCTTAGGTATGTGATCAGGTGCTTCCTCCACCAGAGAAGTTCTTTGGCAGAAGTGAGGGTCACAATTTTGAATGTCACTTGAATCCCAGTGACGTTCTTAAGTGTTACCTGCCAAAATATAGAGACAGAAAGCTTTATCTAATCCTGCTTCCTGTGGTGATTTTTTTCAACGGTAAAACCTTCTACTTCTCTCTGGATCTTTGAGGAGTTCCCTTGCTTGGGGTGGAAGCTGGAGCCTCTTGCCTTCCCCAGTTGATAAAACTGCCTTTTTGTGTTTTCAGTCTTGGAAATGTGCATTATTTCTTTTTTTAATGGTGTTGCCTTAGGTTTGCAGCATTATTTTTAGATTGTGTAACTATTCTTCGAGCTCCATTTCTCTAGTCACTTGTGGATCTTTCTTTGCCTCTAGTATGTTGGAAAGCTGAGGGATGGGTGACTTCATTGGTGGGGCTAGCTGGATGGATGTGGGTTTAATCAACTTGAATTCTTTCAAGCTGAGTTTCTCTTGGCCAGCAGGAAAATACCAGCCCTAACAGGGTTCTAACATTGGATCCTGGAACTTATCAGAACTTGTAAAGCAAACATTTGTTGTTCCTTGCCACTGAAGTGTTTGTCTTAACTTATTATGTATTGTTAAAAGTGCTGCTTGTCTTCAGAGCTCACTCTCATTTCCTTTCTGGAGCTAAGGAAGACTGTATATTGCTAGGCCTAGTAGCTGTTTTCCTTGGTTCTATACCAGGCTGCTCTTCTGCAGGTTTGGGGAGGGTTTGTTCCTGGTGCAACATCGGTGGTCCCAGCCTGCTTCCTGGATGAAGTGCATCAGTGGCGCTCCAGGGCCCCAGCCTGTACCCGAGGCACAATGCATGTGCTCTGTACTTGTAATCTTGGCCACGTCATTAGCAACTTTGCCTCACCTGAGGGAAGGGGATCACTAATGAGAGGAGAAAGAGTAAGAGGACAAACGTACTCATGTAAACAGCGCAGACTTAGTGAGAAGCGGTGTTGTCTGTGGTGGCTGTGCCTGAGCAGCGCAACCAGTGGCTGGTGCTGAGAGCTGGAGTCCAACCCATGGCCCCACCGTGCCTCTCTCTGTGGGAAAACCAAGAGGAATAATGCACGTGGAGTCTAGGCAGCAGAGCAGGACACATACAGCTCGTATAAGCCATGCCAGCTGTGCCCTGCAGACCCTTTGCGTATCCCATTCTGCCAGTTCAGCTAAAGGGCTGAAGCCCTGCTGGAGTCCCACTTGCAGAAGGAATGGAATCCTTTGCTGGCAGCAGAAACAAATATGCTCTTAAAAATAGAGAGAGGGCTAATTCCAAATTTTCATCTTAAATGTTGTCAGAACTTCATGCTGCAATCAAAAAGAAAATTCTCTGACGCTGAAGGGGGCACGATTGCCCCTTTTTTAAGTTTAGGGGAAAATTGCAGGTGTGCATTAACTTTTTGTGGCAGTAGTAGGGGTGAATCATAAATCTCTTAGAGCAGGACCTTAAAGTCTGAGAAGCTACAGCCATTCTCATGCTGTTTCTTTCCTGCAGATTTGAATGGGATAGATCTGACTCCTGTGCAAGATACTCCTGTGGCTTTGAGGAAGGAGGACACGTATGTCCATTTTAATGTGGACATCGAGATTCAGAAACATGTTGAAAAACTAACAAAAGGTATGTAGTATCAGAGACCTGGAACAGGGCCCAGGAGCTTTGAAAGTGTAGACACTAGGCTGCTCCTGATGTAATAAACAGGCCGTGCCTGAGCTGCTGCTGCAGGGCTCAAGATCCAGACAAGGATAAAAATAGACCTTTGCATCCTGTCTCTTTCAAATCAGTCATTGTGATGACTTGCAGACAAGGGCGGAATGAAAAGAGATAAAAATGCAGCAGTCTGCTCTGCTATGCAGGTATTGAGCTGCTTTATGACCTTCTTAGTCATTGGACAAACTGTTACCTGGATAGGAGTGAAGAATACAAGCTCTTGTGAGTGTGGTGAGCATTGTAAGAACATGGTATAGCTTTTGAGTAAACAACACAAGTGTTGGAGATAATTCCCTTTAATGTATGTAGACCATCTGGATGGCAGATGAGTTTTCAGATAACTATTGGCCGTAATTGCTAACTTTTCTATTAAACCATTTTCCACTCTAGGTGCAGCTATTTTCTTTGAATTCAAACACTACAAACCTAAGAAGAGGTTTACTAGCACCAAGTGCTTTGCTTTCATGGAGATGGATGAAATTAAACCTGGGGCAATTGTTATAGAACTGTAAGTGACTTGCAATTATAGATACCAATGACAGAGGAAATGAACTAGACTTCAGTTACAATGTGTGGCTTGTTGCATCAGGAGGGGTTTCTTGTACTCATTAGATTGACTTCTGTAAAGAATATTCTATTTTTAATAAAGAAGGGATGATAAAATGCTTCTTTTTAATAAAGAAGGGACAATAAAAGGCAAATAAAATGGCTAGAGACCCTTCTCAAAACCCAGACTATTTCCAAGTAAAATGGTGGTGTTTATAACTAAATTTTGTGTGAAGTTAACAAATTCTGTATGGGAGATTTTAATTTTGACCTTAGCTTGAGTGTCAGATCACCTATATTTAAAAAAAAATAAAAATCAACTCACACAATCTTTTGGTACAGATCTTCTGTAAAGGAAATCTGATTTGAAACATTGAATTTTATGAGCATTTCAAAGCATTGTTGGGTGGTTGTATTTTCCCCATTGTAAGTACACCTAGAAATAGATTAGCCAGTTACGCTGCAGTGGTTATGATGTGCTTCCTACCCTTAATGTGTGGCTGAAGGTTTTTGAGGGTTTTCTTTCAGGAAGAGGGTGAACCTTGGAATTCTGGGCGTTTCTAGGAAGAGTGCTTAGTCTGTGCTAGCTGAAATACTTCTGAAGTACTGAGTAACTGATACTGCACCTCCTACAATCCAGAGTATCGGATTGGGAATTCTCCTTACAAAAACCTTACATTCATTTAAAAATTGAAATCTTTGTTTTGTTAAAATAATAATCTAGAGAAAATATCAGTTTGGGTTTCTTTCTATAAATCTAGTCATCATTGTTGCTTCCAGTAAGTCTTGTCAAATGTATTTAACAGATTACTGTAATAAGATCTGTACAGGACAAGCTTTCTAGTATGCTTTGATCTTCCTACGCAGCCATTAGCACTTGGATTAACTTATTTTCTTGTGGTTACAGGTACAAAAAACCCACTGACTTTAAAAGGAAGAAATTGCAGCTGTTGACCAAGAAACCACTTTACCTTCACCTCCATCAAACGTTGCACAAGGAATGACCCTAGTTGTGAGACTTCTGTGAACTGAACCACAAGTCATGGTAGCTGTGTGTAGTAGCCTTAGCCTTCGAGGGGCAGGAAAACGACTGTATTCATGCCAGTAGGTCAGACGGGACCATCGCACTCTGCACAGCACTACTTCAGGGTCAGAGGCAAGCCTACCATTCAAGTGCAAGATTTTTCCAGTACCTTCCAGATACAGGTTTTGTTTGGGTTTGTTTTTTTTTTTTTTTCCTGAGAGCCCTGAAATATGTTGACTGCTTCTCCTAATTTTGCTCTTCATCACTTTTTTTTATCTTAACTGTTGTTATCCTTTTGCCTCAAACTCCACCCAAGGATGGAGGCTGCCCCTTTGCCAAACCTGTAGCAATAAAGATGTGGCAGGCCTACTAACTGTTTACACTTGCTGTGCTATTGTAGTTCCTCTCATCTGCATTTTGGAGTTCTCTGTAGTGGGGTGGGTGGCAGAAGACCAGGAGAAAGACGAGGTGGGGTGGGAAGGAGCTTGAGGTGCTGCAAGTGATTTGAAGTGAGAGAGAGGAGGAGGAGGATGTGTGAAGCGGGGTGGCCACAGAAGAGGTCCTCAGCCAGCTGTTCTGCTTTGGTCAGGCCAGGAGGAGGACAACTGCAGATGAGAATGCTGAACTATGATTTTTAACAGCCTTGCCTGATCCACTCGTACTGAGTTTTGGATACAATTACACATTACAATCCTTTAAATCACCCGTTACTCCCCAGCAGAGCTAATTTTTTCTGTATCTTGTCACAGAGTGATTTGCGAAGGTGGGTCGGGGATGGAGAGAGGCTTCATCCTCGTGGCGGTGGGTGTATCACCATTTCGGTGACAGCAGGACAAGGCCCCTCAGCGTTCAATTTTCCAGAGCTTTGGCAAAGTAGATCTGGCTAGCAGGTTGACCCACCTTTTACATGAAACTGCTGTTCTTATGGAAACTGATTGTGTGCAGTTTTCTGCATATTTTGTGCAAGTCTGGAAACTTACTCTAAAAATTACCTTTTTATGTAAGTAGATAGGATTATCATTTATTTTCTATATTTTTTGATTTGGTGTGTAATAAGCTGCAGGACATTGGCTTATTATGACACACTTGCATTCACCTTTTGACCTAATAAAGGGACAGAAGTAGAACCCAGTCAAATCTTTCCTATATTTGCGTGGATATTTAATACAATACTTTAAGGTTTGATATACTTCTTGCATATCTAACTAGTGCCTAAATAATCTGCTATGCTAACAAAAGACCCAACCCCCCAAATAGTGTCAAATATTAGGTTTATTTTAAACAGTCTGGATGTGGATGTATCCCCAATTCCTCTTTTCTGTTGTGTAACCCCAAGATGTTACGTTATGTTTTAATGGAAGGGTTGTTACTTTTCCTCATGATGTTTGTCTGTTTGCAGGTGGTTTTTTTTTTTTTTGCTTTACCATATTGATTAGGGTAAAAAAAGCTCTTTTTTGAATGTCCTAATCTTCCTGCCTTCCCTCTGTTCTGGCATAACAAGAGATGACATCGTTTAGGTGTTGTGACAGAAGTCAGCAACACTTCCTGGAGGGAAGAGGGGGGGAAGCGCAATTGAATTTTCGTGGTTATGGGTCTTTACCCCAGTGGTGTTACATCTGATACATTGAATTTCAAGCCCTGAAAAGAGATCCCTACAAGTTATGGAAATACCTCTGCATGCTGTATTCTGGATACCAGACAGAAGGAGGACATCACATACATTCTGAGAAAATACATAAAAATAATCCTTTGAACTCTGCAAAAGGATGGAGCAAAGCATCAGTCTGTGGCTGCAAACAACTCTGAGCTTGGTCAGTAGCTGTGTTACCTGCCAGCGGTCCCTGGCTGGCTCGGGTGCCTTTCTGACCACCGGAGCAGCTGCGTAGCACTGAGTGTTGCTGTCAGTCAGTCCTGTGCCAGGCAGCACCCTCACTGCCCTCCTGGGGCTCCCAGAGGATCATTCCCTCAGCTTTACCCTGTTAAGGCTGGGGGGGGGGCAGGGGGTGAGGTGGCAAGGGAGGAGGTGCAAAGCAGCACAAAGCTGGCTGTAGGGGAAGGAAAGAGCCTGAACTCAGACAAACCTGACTTTCAAATACGAATGTTCATCAGTGTGTGTCATCAGCCACTAGCAAATCAAATGCTATCACTTGAATTATGAACCCATTGTGTCAGCTGCTTGTCTCTTCTCCAGCTTGTAGATGTCTATATTAACTCCAGTTATATGAAATGTCAACTTTGAAGTATTTTTGTTAAATACACAAGTAGAGCTTTGTATTTAACTGTTGTGAATTAATGTCTGTAGAGTGTGAAATACCATTTTTAAAGTTGCTTCTATCCTTTGCAGGGTTTTTTTGTGAACTTTCACGGAAAGGACTACTATTCCCCACAACACAAGCTCTTGTATTATTTTATGCTTTAGTGATGTTCTATCTTGTCTTTCATCTAAAAAAATCTAAAGCTTAATACTTGTACTGTAAGAATGTAACACCTAGATGCCACGTTTCATGGCTGCTTGTATTCTGGCAGTAAAGCTGTAATGGCCTTTCAGTAGGGGTTTTTTTTTTATTATTCCTAGTTGTTTTCTCTTCCCTTTTTCTCTCCTCCCTAAGGCCTGCTTTTGTGCAGAGCGCTTTTGAAAAACCTTAGTGTCTGCTCTGCCAAACACCATGCACCCATCCTTGCATTAACACTTCTGTACGGGGACAACTTTGAACAGCTACGCATGGGGGGGGATGTTTTTAAAGCCATCCCCTGTTCTGTGTTTAAAACAATCCAGGTTAAGATGTTTTACATAAACCCACTCTGCTTTATGGAATATTTTTTTTTTTGTTAATGTAAGTGAAAAAGGCTATAAAAATACAGCCCTACTCTGTCAAGGAATTGGTCTTAAATACTGAGTAAGATTAAAACTCAGCCTTTGCTTAATGCTGCAAGCCAGTTGTGAAAGCAGAAAGCTATTATGAAATTTCTTAGTTTCTAGAATCCTGGAGCATGCACCTGCATTTCCAGACTAACCCCACACCGGCACGAGGGTTTCCAGCTTGGTACTGCCCTTCAGCTGAGGAGGCTCTATCCCCCTTGTACTCATTACACAAAGCAGGTCCCTCATGCTGGACTCATTGAGCATGAGAGGAATGCAGTCATTAATGGTGCAGCAGCAATTACTCAGTCTTGATGCAGTTCCTGATCTTGGTCACAGCTGTAATAGTCTCTGGTTAAATTACTGAACTAATATTGTTTCTGAAAAAAAAAATGGCACTGAAACAAAGCTTTCAGGGTTTAGCAAAAGGAATTTTTTTTTTTATTATAACTTTCCTTTGAATACAGTGTCATTTGTGCTTCTGATCTCTGACCAGACTTTTTTTTAAAAAAAAGAAAACCAAAAACTACCTCACAGTCCTCACATAAACCCCTGGCCTACATTAACCACAGCTTAATGATATGATGGAGAAGGCAGGTAGGATAGCATTTTACTTAAAAATTATTTCCACAGGAAATGATTTGATTTACATTTTTCACTAAATTAGTTCATTCACCAACTGGTTACAGAGGCTACATTTAATTAAAACTAGCCACACAGGTACTTCCTTTCTATTGCACGTTTAGAGTAGGTTCAAGTCCATCACAAAAAGGTTCTTGCAGCCCAAGAGGATGGATGAGTTTAAGGTGATCATAAATGCACATGTCTGTAGCAACTGGATAAAAATTAATCCTGCAAAAGCTGAAATATACTGAAATGAGACAAATGGCTTCAAAATAGAGAACCATTTCTTAAAATCCTGACTGCAGGAAGTGCGCTAGTCCATTCTGTTGAGCTGCTGACCAGATGCTGCGGTCAGTCAGGGTTTCTGCACCGGGGGCTGTGTATAGTCCTTTGGGGCTGCTGGTGGTGGGGGTCTTTGGGGGCTGCGGGTGGTGGGGGGGGGGGCCCAGGGGGGTGGTCTCTGGGTCCCGATGGAGGCAAGTCTCTGTTAGGAGAAGGTGTATAGTCTCTTGAACCAGGCGGGGGTAGCCGCGGGCCAGGAGGGTAATCTCTTGGGCCAGGAGGACCTAGGGGGCGAAAAGGAGGGTGCCCACGTCCATAGCCTCGTGGATCTGGAGGCAGCGGCACTGGGCCAGGAGGCAGATCTCTCATTCCTAAGGGTGGGCCAGGTAAGAAATCTCTTGCAGCTGGAGGTGGTAAGGGAGCACCACGGACTGGAAGGAAAGGAAAACACAGGGTTAAGTGACATCTTGCTTTAACCTAAACTGTGAAGTTCCTGACTCCCTCATTTTTTGGAGCAGCTCTAAGGTGAGTCACTGTCACATCCAGGCTTCCCTGGCCCTGAACTGTAGTGACTTTTGGCTGCTGGTTTCCACTTTAAACAAGGAAAAAGGAAGAACACCTTGGCATTGAGGAAGCTTGAAAACTCCCACCTGTCCAAGCTTACTGAGCAAGACAGCCAGACCCCACAAGGCATGGGGAAGCTGTATGCTAACAGACAGCCGATCTCAGTTCTGCCGTGGGCTCCTGAGATGCACAGTGGGAAAAGCAAAGTTTCAGCACTAGGTAATACAACCATACCTAGGGGCACAGGCAGAGGTCGAGGCCCGAAGTGCCCGCGGAGAGGTGGTGGTGGTGGTGCTGGTCCATAGCGAACAGGCGGTGGAGGCGGAGGTCCCATCACTGGGGAGGTCATGATAGGTGTCCCAGGGAAAGAAGGAGGGCCTTTGGGACTGGCATTAGCCTGTGCGAGATTAGGTTAATGCTTTGGTGTGTTATTCACCAGAAGTACTGACACCGCTCAACACCACAACCACTTGCCCAAAGGCCACAACGTGAAAGAGACAGGGAAGGAGAAAAAAAAAAAAAGGGGGGGGGGGGGGAAAACACACACCTCAAAACCACGTTAACCAAGTAAAGAATAGGGAAAGTTACTGCACCATCACTGTCCCATCACCCAGAACACTGCTTGCACTACCCAGGAGCGAGTGCTTAGTGTACCTTCCGAGTGACAAGTTTTCTTTAGCTAAAGCTCTTTAGAGAAAAGTTCAATCCCTTCTGAGGTGCCCCCGGTGGACATCTGGCCTGGCACCTTGAATTACAT